GTATATATATATATATATATATATATGTATAATTTTAATGAAAATGACAAATGGTGCTTTGGAAACTAGTTGAATAAAATTGTTTTTTAAAATATTTTATTTTATTTTATGTCAGTTAACGTTTATTTTATTTCAATTCACAATGATTTTATTATTTTAATTTAAGTTAACTCTGATGCAGACTGAAATTTTAAGTATTTGCTACACAGATTATTTATATCTTCTTAAACTTTCCATCTATTTTGTCTTTCACCGAGATTAAATTAATTGGTCATTTTGATCTCTTAATTAAGGAGCAAAATATTGTCAAATATTGTCAATTTACAATATTGTATGCAGACCAGTGTTATAATCACTATGATACTATGAGAGTTCTTATTAATATTTTAAATGAGTTATCAGTTTATTTTCATATTTTCTGTTTTAATTTTAGTTAAAGTTTTAGTAATTTTGCTGCGTTTCTGCTTTTAAAAAATATGTATAGTATTCATTACGTTTCATTTTAGTGTTAGTTATTTTTGTAAATCAAGTTACATGATACGAAAATGAAAAATGTAGCCTTGGCAACTAGTTGAGTAAAATATGTTTTAAAATGTAAAAATTCCAGTTAAAGCTTATTTTATTTCAAGTCGCGAAAATATATTTTTTATGGTTTCAGTTTTATTTAACTATACCCCTGATGCAGACAGGAATTTCAAATATTTGCTGCACAACTGTGAATGTCTTATTAATATTTCTATCTGTTTCGTCTTTCAGTGCAGAGATGCCTTTGATGATTGTTGAGATGAGCTGCAGTCTGATTGGCTGGCTCTTTCTGTATGTGCTGCTGTGTCACTTGAACAGTGAAAGAGATTGTGAGTGGAACTGCAGGCTGGTAACTCTGCTCCACGGCATCCTGATCGTCTGTGTGACTGCCTACATTGGCTTCATTGCTGGGCCATGGCCTTTCACAAACCCAGGTAAGTTGTCCTGTTTGGAAGGTTTTAGTCAAGTCAAGTCAAGTCACATTTATGTAGCGCTTTATACAATACTGATTGTGTCAAAGCAGCTTTACAGTGTCAACAGGAAAATAGTTGGTCAATAATGCAAGAGGACAAAAAGAATTATTTTCCAGATGAAGTTGTAACCTTCTAAAGCCTGACATATGGAATAATATTTAGAAAAAAAAAAACATTTTATTTAAAAATGTAACACTTTACTGAACCTTTCAAACAAAACAGTATAAAAAATGTATAAAAGTGTACTCAACCTTATTTGTTGAGTATCATATTGAAAACGAGATGATGCATCTCAAGGGGTTTATCCCAAATAATAAATTTGTTGACATATTTGATAATGCATATATGGCTCATATACTGTATGATAAAGGAATACGGAGCACCTCAGTTTTATTCAGAGGCCCAAACTGAATAAAAATATGCAATTTGTTGCAGTTACTGTTAGTTATATGGCCAAAAAGTACAAGACAAAAAAAAAAACTGACCCTAAGCAGCACTGTAATAATTCAGTTTTTCAATTATGTCCATAATTCTGGAGCAATAAGGCCTTAAATCTTTTTTTTATATGAATCCATGATTCAGGCCCTACAAAATATGCCATTTGTTTGATTTGCATGAAACTTTGCACATATCATCCCCAGACACTCATGACAAGAAGTTATTTTTGAAAGAAAGAATGTTGATGTTGAAGCATTGCAAAGATATAAGTTAATTAATTGGCAAAGCAATGCCCATTTTTACGAGCTGACCTGTATCTGCTGTATGTAATGTCCAAGCTTAACAAAACTTGACACACATAGACAACAGGACATTCTGAGGATGCACAAGAAGTTTCGTAACATTCTGCCAATAGGGGGAGCTACAACTGAAAAACCACTTAAAGGGATAGTTCACCCAAAAATGAAAATTCTGTCATTAATTACTCACCCTCATGTCGTTCCAACCCCGTAAGACCTTCTTTCATCTTCGGAACACAAATTAAGATTTAAAAAAAAAATGATATCCAAGCACTTCCTGACCCTTCATAGACAGCAATGCAACTACCATGTTCAAGGCCCAAAAGGTGGTAAGGACATTGATAAAATAGTCCATGTGACATCAATGCTTCAATCGTAATGTTATGAAGCTACGAGAATACTTTTTGTGTGCAAAGAAAACGACTTTATTCAACCATTTCTTCTCTTCCGTGTCAGACTGACATGGAAGAGAAGAAATTGATATGCCACTGTAAAACGAATATGTGTACTGAATTTGGTGAAAATCGGCCACAAGGTGGCGCTATAATAGCAACTTTACCTTTTAGCTAATAACTCAGCAACCAGGTGTAATAAAATCAAAATTCTTCTTTTTTTCTGCATTCTCACTTTAAGTCCAGACAAAATAAATGTAATTAAATGCACAAAACCAGTTTATTTGTACAATTATGGTGCACTGGTAATGCTATTTATTATTATTATTAGGGGTGCAAGCACCGAAGGTGCTGGAAACCTGTTGTCCTTATACAGATTTTTCTCTGCTTCTTCTTTGTTTTTCGACCATAAAAATAAATTGGCATCAGAGACCATAAATCGTAGACATCCCAAAATCAGCAGAATGGCTTCAAACATGCACCGCTACTCAGGCGCACAGACACATTTGCCCAACACTAGGTGGCACTATAATAAGCCAACTCACGTTTTGGTCCATACCTCTGGAACCATGGAACCTCTGGAAGTGCTTGGTTCAGTTCATTCATTTTGAAGTGTTGGTGGCAGATGGCAGTAGATGTTTGGCCTGAGTTCATGTCAGGGAGCCCTGGGGCCATAACAGCTTTAAAAGTAATAGAAATGACTTTTTTCAGGAGCCTAAAGAGCAGAAACGTTCCATAAAACTCTTTAAGGGAACAGTGCAATATAAATATAAATATACATTTTCTAACAAAATTCCTAAATTGTCATATAAATTCTTACAAAAATGTATTACTAATTTTCTTATGAATTTTCCTCACTAAATTTCTTAATTTTCTAATTTACAAATTTGTATAAGAAAATGTATCTTACAAAATGTCTTATGAATTTTCCTAAAACATTTCTTATCAATTTTCCTACAAAATTATAAATATAAAAAGTAAATCTAAATATAAAAACAATATATAAATAACTATTATTTACACATCCCTAAGCAAGTAATACCATCAGACGCAAGTACTGCTGCTTCAAGTCATTCAAGTCAAGAAAACTGATTTTTAAAACAAAATGTAGGGTCTTATTTATTGAAAGAAGTTTAGAAATGTCAAGAGGGTAAGGGCTTTGTAAGGAGAATAGGCAAATTAAATTTAAATAATTGTTAAATAATTCTTCAAGAATTAACTGGATGTGATTTTTGACATCTCTTCCTCTTGTTTCCAGGCACTGAAAACACATCTCTCCAGATCCTGGCTCTTGTTCTCAGCTTAGGATACTTCCTCTTTGACATGGCTTGGTGTGTGTATTTCCGCACTGAGGGTCCGGTGATGCTGGCCCACCACACCATGAGCATCCTCAGGATGGTGCTGGCACTAGGGCTGGGCGAGTCGGGCATCGAGACCTGCGCTGTCCTCTTCGGCAGCGAGATCACCAACCCGCTCCTGCAGGCCCGCTGGTTCCTCAAGCGCATGGGCCGTTATGACAGTTTAGCTGGAGATGTGGTGGACCTGCTCTTCATTCTTCTGTTTGCCTCTGTGAGAATTGGTGTTGGGAGTAGACTGCTTTATTGTGAATTAGCCTCTCCGAAGCCATCGCTTATAGTGAAAGTTGGTGGGGTGGCTATTTACACTCTCTCCTGGATCTTCATGATAGACATTTCACGTTTTGCCTGCAAGAAAACTCGCGCCAAATACAGGCGATGGAAGGAACAGTACAAGCTGGAAGAAGCTAATGGACATGCTGTCAAAGTGAAATAGGCCTTTCTGTGCATTATGACTGGGAAAAGTGGCATTTTTACTGATATACATAGCTATATGTAGCATTTTGTTATTTTACTGGGTTCCTTTTTAATGTATGTATATATTAGGCATTTCTTTTTAATGTATATATATATATATATATATATATATATATTAGTTATTAGTTATTAATTTGAATAACTTTCCTATGACATACTAAGATTTATTAATTTATAAAAAAATAAAAAATAAAAAATAATTTATATTTATTTTAAGATTTATTAAGATTGTATTACATTTCATGACTTTTCTATGAAATATTAAGATATTGTTAATTTTCCATGACTTTTCCAATTTCCATTAATTTCCATGACATTAATATTTGATACATTTTCATGATTTTGAAGGACTGGAATACTGGAAAACATAAATGTGTATATTAATGACTGTACGAATCATGTGACGGACACCGAACCAAAGTGCTCAAAAACACAACTACACATTAACATGAAAGTGCAAACAGGACTTACTCAAACAGAGCAGTACAATGGCATTACACGCATGGTGCAAATCTTCTAATGCTATTGAGCCTGTCAATGGGAGAAGGTGTCCTTGTACAATGACATTGTCTGCTGCTGCAGTCTTTCCTCAGCAGACAGAAACGAGCTTCAGTGATATTTGGAAACTAAATACAATGCTGCTCCAAATTAGTTATTCCAAATGTGTAGGCTATGACTTACCTAAAGCAAAAGATTTTGTTAGAAAACAGAGCCTAAACAGGAGGTAGGAAGCCATATGTATGTGATTAGTTGCCACTATTTCCAAACAGCAGAGGAATTTTGAAATGTAAAAAGTGGCAAACTTTTTTTAATGATGAAAGAGGGCTGTTTTGGGAGTAAAGAAGAATGTGGTACCATGCAGATCTTGTAGACAGTATGCTGCATGAGTCCATATGAATAAAGCCTTTTTTGCACAAACAAAATACTAAAGATAAATTTGTGGATTCGGATGAAAAGTTTAGTTTTTAACCACCTGCTTATTTGTTGGTATGATTATTAAAAGAACGTGCTACACAAGAAATATTTTGTCAGAAATATTCTCTGGGCCTACAACTTCTGATTGCTTTATCATCTCACATCTGCAAGTATTTTTACAGTAGCCTATATACAGTATACATACATATTTTTATTGTCAAATGAAAAACAATATCTCTTTAATTATCTCTGTTTACATATTATTTTAATTAGGGATTATTGCTAAATGTTGCTGGGTTCACTAACATTGAAAATATGATATTCATCCATTGCTTTGAACTTCTCTGAACACTGATCATTTTTATAGTTGGTTTGGCACTGCGGAACCACCAGCAGGAATAAACCGCTAGGTGGCGCAGAAGATTTAAATATGCTCATTCTGATAAATATTGACAAATAAATCACAGCTTTATTGTATCAATTAGTCTGTCTTTCATTCCAGAATCTGTATTTTTCTGTATTTCTTTTATTCTTAGTTTCTCCTAATTTGATTTTATCATTCGATTATACATGATATTCAAATGCTGATCTGCTTCTTCATCAGAATGTGTCTTTAACATAATGATTTTGTTTACTCATTGCAGATTCTGGCTAATCTGTAAATCACCTTGTTTGATTTACTGGTTTAAGTGAGTGAATAATGCTCCTAATTTACTGCCTACCAGTTGCCAGTACTTTACCAATGACAACTAGTAGGCTAGTGACTACAACACTTGGGAGGCGATAGTGCTGTTTGCGGAAGGATACGCCAAAAAGTGGTGAAGCGTCGCAGGCGTAGGAATCCGGGATGTGATTTGACTGAAACTCGGGAATGATCTGGATTTTTGTGATTTCTTCTTAATCGTTTTTAATCTTCGTACAGCGCCAAACTGACACATGTGACAACGCGCTTGTATAGAGACGGAATCCTTGGTGTACAGATTTTGTTGGAAAAAGAACGGCTAAAAACTACTGAATTTCGGAAAACACGGAGACAAGAAGGGAAGGACCCGACTAAAATAAAGTTTCCAAACAAATTATTCCAAGAACAGAGGGAATCCGTTCGCGAGACGAAAAAAATGTGTTGCACATCCGTCAAGTTTGGATTGTATTTTACTGCTGCTTTGAAACGAAGCTGTTTTGAGCAGAATTCATGAACTGGGAACTATGCCTCGCTGCCCCTAGAGCAAACATCAAACGATTTGTAAAGTTTTCTCCCGATTTTGCAGTGGAAAATATGGGAATTCTAGAAGTTGAACTAGGTAGGGAAGGAATTACAATGAAAGGTTGAACCGCGTGGATGCTTTAATCCATCCGTGGAGTGAATTCCCCCAGATTTTCACACATTTGGAGTGGCCAGGATACGTTCTTCTGGAGAAAAAGTCCATTCAGCGTGTAAGGGGCCTAAAAAAGATGTATATTTAGTTAACAGACTTACTTTGCACTACCCATTCAATTGACGGTGTGGTCTGTACTGCAAACGGACGTTTTGTGCAGCAGTGAAAATCCCACGTTTGAGATTAGGTTGAGTTTAGTTAGGAATGCCGAGTTGGAAGTATTTCAGTGGGGGAAATGATAGAAAGCCGTCGAGATTTACAAAGTAGAGCTGTAGCGAAGAGCTTTTGGACTGACGCGAAATGCAGCCGGACAGTCTCCTTCATTCGTAAGGCAACACACTAACAAAAGATTGTTTCTCTGGCTTTACTTCCAGCCGTGCTTTGGGATTGACAAAGGCGACTGTATCCAGACAGAGGCGAGGGGGAAGCCTGTCGGTCTGTGTGGTGGCATTTTGGCTGGGAAAATGATGAAGCGTCTCAGACAACAGAAAGAGTTTTTCTCCATTGATCATCTATGTGTTTGCGTTTAGAATCGATTTCCTTTGCTAACTCTTGTGTTGTGTAGCGCTACAGTCAAATGACACCGACTACTGAAACGCAGACAAACCGTGGAAATATAAAACATAAGCGTGTTTGTTTCTGTTCTGTTCAAGAGGAGACTTTACCATTCACATCAAGACGGAACTGTCAAAATTGAAAAGTGCCACCCGGCTGTTGTTGTTTTGTGTTTATTTTATTTATTTTTTCAAATACAAAGGTGTTTTACCATGGTAAAATGCTAATTGGATAAGAGCTGAAGAAAATCAAGAAAGGAAAGCCCAATGAGCGGCACACAGTCCACGCTTGCTGAGAGGTAAATGATGACATAATATTTACATGGTTGTGTTTATGATAATGATAGTGACCTGTCTTAGGTTTATGACTCTGTTTATACATATATATACATAACCAAAACACTGTATGGTTGAGATAAATCTGCCACCCTTCAACAAAATATATGCTACACAATTCACTTACAAAGTGCCATGGTAAGACCCTGATGTTTGTACCATAGTAATACCAAGGTATTCTCGGGATACTAAGTAAAACCTTTGGTATATGAATAGTTGTCATTCACTATCATATATCAAAATACCATAGTATTAACATGCTTCACCATGGTACTGCTGTCATAGTACTTTTTATTTATAAAGGTGTTGTCTTTAAAAGCTCAAATATTTTCAGAAATGTACTATGGTACTACCAGGGTTTTGGTACCCCATAGTATTCTTTGAAATACTTTGTAGTACCATGTAAGTACCATTTTACAAGTATTTTATTGTATTAATAATGTAGTATTCCAATACACAGCAGTGTACCATGGTTTTGCAATTACTGTACCATAGTACCGGTGCTGTTTATATAATTCAAGTTAGTCACCTGTTGAAATGGGTGAGTAGAAAATCGGAATAAATATCCCCATATAATAGAACACTAACAAATTTAATGCTGAATCTTAAAAAGAGCATGATGGGTAACATTATCATAAAGTGTGATGCATTTTTATTTCAAGTCATTCTGTCTGGTCTTTTATGTGTAGTTAATATGTGCAGTCAAACCTGTTTCCCACAAATTAGTCGAGTTGATAAGAAAACTGATAGGTGACCTTATGACCTTGCAGCACAAATTTACTTGTCTATCTTTCAGGTAAACTCAGTCTATGTGAACATTTTTCTAAGCAGACACATTTTGAAATGTGCTGGTTTTGTGTGACTGTGTGGTTTGTGTTTTGGCGATGCATTAGTCACTCAGAAGCCGGAGGACTGACTGATGTGCGTTTGTTGCGCACACCTGTGAGCACACAGCTTGTGACAGGAAGCACTTTAGATATGTGGTCAGTATGTCACTCCAGGTATCTCACTGTGTTCTGCTAATGCTGCTCTTAAGAGCACAGCTGGCCTCAATGTGAGACTCTCTTGTTGTGGTTTTCCACCTCTTGAGTTGTTACCTGTATTACTCGACCAGGCGCACACATTTCAAAGAACAAAACACAGAAGCATGCTGGGTAAGCTAATGTGTTGTCATCTGTGTGCAGAGTTGTGCCTTGATGCATGTGGCGACACTTCTTTGTTTTCACACCCACTCTTTTTTGATTATATCCATCGTGCAAACTGCGTGAATACATAAGAGGTGTGCAGCAGGGCTGAAGCTCTCTCAGTTCAGTGTCAGAATCTGAGCAGGGTATAGCTGGTTTTGTAAGGTGATGTTCTGTGATAGTGAGCAGGAAAGACAGGTCGTCTCCTTCAGAGACAAGAACAGGCTGTCTGCTCTCAGGTAGACATCACCGTTTGCTGTCAGTGATTATCAGATGGACAGTTATTTGTGTTTTTTGAGACCTATTTATTTTGAAAAGGAAAGTTCGGATAAGCATCAGTGTTTCATGTGTAAAGATTTTTCTTACGGTAATCTGTATTTACGTTAATTGCTACTGAACCTTTGTATTTTACCTGTGTATATTTGCGGTAGTTTTATACATTAAACTGGCTGCACAGAAATTAAAAAATGGAGTCCTTTAAAATCCTGCTCAAATGGTGGTGTGGTTGCAATTAGGGCTGTGCGATTAATCGAAATCGTCATAAAATCGCGATTTGAGCTTGCGCGATTTCTAAATCGCTTTATAGCACGATTTTCTGCGCCCCCGACCTCCTGCAGTATGCTATCTGAACCAATCAGAATGCAGCGCGCCTAAATGGAGCACGAGAACAGACCGGGCGGGCATACAAACATAACGCCAGGTTCACACACTCTGTGTCACTTATTTTTTTCCGCGCCCATGTTAGCGGATCAGAGCGTTCACACTGTATGCGATTGCGGCCCGGCAGTGCGCTCCAGGAGCGGTGCGCCTGCAGCAGTCATGCTGCGATCGTTTCCGCACGGAATCTATTTCTGCTGTGCTATACACGCTGAATTAAAGTGACAGCGCATTATTCGCGGTAAAAATGAACATGGATTGACACGGAAATTTAGTAATTACACCATAAATGCATATAATTAAAGTCTACTGTTTCACAGGCAACACATGGCTTTTTGGCTAGATTTAAAACAAGGAAAAGTGCACTTTTAGATAAACAAAGCAATAATAGATGGCACTCGTGGTGGTAGTTAAAAAAAGTTATATTTATTGAGTTTAAAAGTGAATATGTCTATGAAAGATTGTATTACTGTACTGTGATAAAAGATAATCACAATGCTGAAAAAGCATTTTCAGAAACAACGTTTGGATTTGAAATCAAAATAATGGATAAATGTTGTGTTTGTGGTAAACAGCCGCGGATCAGGAGCGGACTGCAAACGCGTCCTGTGCGAAAGCAAAATGAGTCCGTGCTGCTTCT